TGGGAGCGCCCATCCTCACTCACTGGCAGGTGACTGATGTGACAGCAGGAGCGCTTACTCATTGGAAGGGGTCCGTGTTACGACTGACTGTCGAGCGAGTAAGTGGAGATGAGCAAGGCAGGCAGGAGCGCAGACGAGCTCTGATCGCAGTGAGACTGGAGCGGAGCTCAACAGGCAGGACTGGAGACAAGTTGTGTATTGAGCGAAGTATCTACAGAGCGAAATACACGATGGCTTACCTGGAGACAAGAGGTTGAAACTAGAGTCTCCAGGTAGCAAGGGATCCAGCTATATACAGGGAACGAACAATGGGCGCTAGAGAACAATAGCGTCGCCATGGGTACAAAGTACAAGGGGTGTAGGACAATAGCGGACGTGGGGACAAAGGGAGCTATTGTCCGTGTGCGGACAAAGGGAAACCATAGCGAGTAGTGAACAATAGGGGAGCGAACGAGGCAATGGTCCGAATCGAAAAGGAAACGTAGCGCCGTGAGGGCGGTTCGTGACAGTCCGGACTCGGCACAACTCAGGTATTAGTCGTAAGGTCACCATGAGGCAGGTCAGGGGGTAGGACATGAGGCAGAGAATTCTGACCAAACAATGGTCAATAGGTACCTGGTCTGTGCACCGTTGTATCAGTATATATAGTAGGGGGTCTGATGCAGGGAACCTCAGACTTGATCTTCTCGTTGATCCCCCATCTCCTCTGTAGGTAGCTAGCAGCCCTACCTTCTACTACCCCTTCTAGTCTAGGGAATTCACATCTTTGCATCATCTCTTGCTGTGTCACCTGTGGTTGCTTCGCTCTCAGCACCAACCCCTTCACCAGTAAGCTTTGTCTTTGTTTATCTGGTGGCACAGCTCGTTGGCTGTGACATTAGATCAAGTCTCTTGACCATCCCCTCCGTGGAGTGTCTCAACCACTTGCGGACCAGATCTCTCTCCCCAGGAGTTTTTTAAAACATTTATCATCCCCCCCCCACTATCCTTCCATCCGACTCGGACCTACCGGAGTTTACCCGTCGTCACTTCAAGAGACACGGTCACCTCGACGTCCAGTCCCAAATTGACTGCGCCCTTGCGGACGACACATCAGATCGACTTCATCATCACCGTCAATGTCGGCATACCCCCATCGTCCCTCGATGCAAGGCTCTCCCCCCATCTGTACCCTCTTCCCAGCTACTCGATAGACCGCTTGCTGCATGTCTCACCACACCACCACCAGTCTTTGCCCCAACCACCCCTACGGTCCCTCTCTAGTACCGTATCTCTGCACCACCTATCCCCTCCTTCACACGTCGCGATCCCATTGATCTCTTTGCCATTGTAGGCTCCAAGGTCAGTGCCGTCATCAAAAGACTGCAGGCCATCTTCGATCGCAAGGACCAGCTGCTCGACATCCCCCACGACCATCAGCTCACCCTTCAGCGCATCGGCGACAGGCTCGAGTGAATACTCCACAAGATTGAGAATGGCTCTTCGTGGACTCGCAGTCAACAACAAAACATCAACTGGTGTTGCAAGGAGTTTGGAAAGGTCAAGTTTAGTGGACTTGGGCAGAACTTCAAGTGTATTGTCAAAGCTCTAGTAGAGTTAGAACATTTTGGGTATTTGGATTGGATTGTTGTTTAGTCTTGTATCAGGCATAGTTTTCTACCAATGGCTTCAGGCTTGCGTTACGCCCCTCATCTGTAAAAACCACCTTTGCGAATTACACCTATTCAGCACAAATTAGCTCTTAATAGACACAGTAGTTGAATAGTGAAAAATAGTGCAAAATCGAGAGGTCCCCAAAAATAATTGCACTATTTTGCACTATTAATGCAAATTCGTGCAAAGTAGCACTATAGTAGACGGAAATAGTGCTACAGTAGACGTTGATAGTAGTGGATAGAGTGGGTCTATGATTTCTGACTGGTGTAGAGATGCTTTCTATGACCTCAAAACCATCTATTTATAAGCCCCAGATGCATTTAAAGTGCTGGAAAAAATATATGAAAAAATATCCTCAGTCAGTCTTGAACCCTCAACCTCACCTTCATATAACACCTGTTTCAAAGTTGTGCTCTATGCCACTGCACCACCAGAGCTTATATGAACTCTCTTCACAAGTACTATATATATTCAATTCTGCTAGACTTGGACAAAGTGGTGACACCTCACCTTGAGATTCACCTGCTGAGGCTTGCATATGTGTAATGTCTGGGACTATGTATATAATATTGAGTGTGCTATAGTGTATGCTTTATGGTATGAATGCTGTGCTGGCAGCCTAATCCTATACATGATAACAAGTTCTGTGTTGAGTTGTGCCCTCAAATATAAGTCAGCTATCATGGTGATTTTGAAGCTATAGAGGTGTGTAATGCTTGAGTTGAGAACTATGAGCTATAAATAAAGGATTGTCATCTTATTTGAGTCTCCCCTAAATGAGTAGTGCTAAAATAGCGCAAAGTAGTACTACAGTAGTGCAAAATAGCGAAAATTAGAGGACCACAATTGCAGTAGTGCTATAATAGTATTATGTTGGCACTACATGATACTATAGAAAAAGTGATAGTGAAGAGTAGATATAACTAGTACCAAGTATACTAATTAGTGCTGAGTTGCACTACTGAAGAAGTGCGTCTGAATAGTAGCTCTAATGTAGATGTCATCTCTGCTAACACTTGCTAATATAGATGGGATTATCTGAATAGTAATATTTAGTGTCAATTCGCAAAGGCTGTTTTTCCAGATGTAGCAGCCCTACCTCCTCACTGCCCCTTCTAGTCTAGGGAATACACTTCTTACATCATCTCTTGCTGTGTCACTTGTGGTTGCTTCGCTCCCAGCACCAACCCCTTTAACAGTAAGCTTTGTCTTTGTTTATCTGGTGGCGCAGCTCGTTGACTGTGACAATTACCGCTTGACTTGACTGATTGCGCCATAACTTGACTAAAAAAGGTTATGACCCAGTCTTATGACTAGATGTTTAGAGCCTAAATCAGATGTGAAAAAACCAGAACCATCCAGGCTCCTGAACTTCTGGTGGATCCACCCCCATGACTCCCTGCTCAGTGACCTACGTAACACATCAACACCCCATCAGGGCATGCCGAGAAAGCCAGAGGTGGCGGCAAGATGCTAGTATGCTTGTGCGACACTCTATAAGTACTGTTGAATAGGTGCTGCTTTACACAGCTTGCCTAATACAGCTGTCACAAGATATGTAATGGCACAGCCAGTTACTGCAATAGCCGATGTGGAACTACTTCTCTATGCAACTGTGCATTCTAGGAAGGTACTATATAGTACTACATAGCCACAGATGTACAGTAGTATATATAGGGGACTCCTGTACCCCCAATCTACAGTTCAGTTCACTCGAACATCTTCTCACATCGCTCTAACAAGCCTCTTACAACCAACAACCCTTCTAGGTGAGTTGCAGGCTATCCGCTGTCGTTTCCACCCGTGGGAGAGGCTTTTGCCCCTCGGATTCAACAAGTACTGACCATGGCCCCCTATTCTATTCTAACTGGCTAATGACATCTCCTACAAGGTTATTATATTGTCCCACTCTCTTATAAAGAAGACACCCTACAAGCTGCCCCAGAGGCCACCAAAGCCTTGTGGGGATACGACTTGGACAATCCACACCCTAGACGCTTGAAGAGATGTGTCCACATCATTGCCTCAGCTAAGAGAACTGAGAAAGATAGGAAGGTTCATATCTACTGACCCTGTAAATGCCAGAATGGACTGAAAAATGATAACATTGATGTGCATGTGGCTAATGGAGAACATGAGGCCTTCTTGCATGGCTTCAGTGCTGCAGAGGTAGATTGGCAGCAGAGGACTCTTGAGGGCAGCTTTGACCGAATCTTAGTCAGAGGTGTCATATAGCCGGTTGCTGTTGCATTCAGACGGAGTGTGGTCTTTATGTGCCTCATTGCAAAGAGCCCCCCTTTGGTTGTGCAGCTCTTCTGGCTTTGCGATGGTTTATAGGTGTGCAGGAGAAGGTAGCTCAGAGACGTCGGGAGGGCAGCAGGAAAGTCACACAAGCGGGGAGTCACCCACGGAGCCCGGATGGTTCCGGTTCTTTCACATCCGCTCCGAACGTCTGGTCACGAGACTAGTGGCAGTAATTTTCCACGAATTGGGCGTGAGGCATTAGACGCCTACGCGACGTCGCGATCCCGTGACGGTAAGGGGATTGAGTGAGCTCAGTTGCGTGGCTTGGGAGTTGGCACTAACCACGAAGGTCTGCGAGCACTGGCCACAGAGGCAGCGTCGTCGTCAACCCTCTCCCCTGCACCGTCGTCGTCAACCCTCTCCCCAGCACCGTCCATCGACGCCGCGGCATCCACCATCCACAGATGCCCCTTCCCGGAGGCACCGTTGAGGCGAGCAGAGCCCAGCGCATCGAGCGTCACCAAGCCCGCTACCGGGATCGAGGCGGGTGCGTTCTCCCTCTTGTCTTTGCGCTTCCCCTTCCTCAACCACTCCCCGAAGCATCTTCAAACCTGCAGAGCACAATCCTCTCCTTGACTTGCTTCTTGCGCGTGGCGTCAATGGCGAATCTCCTTCCCGCTCTGCCTCTCCTCGCCGATCACGAAGCCGCTCCACGTCGCCCATGCGCAAGCGTCCGAAGTCACAGGCGGGCGTATCACAACACCCTATGCTGATTGAAAAGAGCGACCTTGGCACAGCAGATGCGAAGAGGCGTAGATCGAAGGGTCCGAGCGTCGCTCGCCACGCGGAGGATTCTGAGAATGCCGATGGTCATTCGCCTATCCCAGGTACGTCATGCCTTATATGCGTTGGGATATACCTCACACGCCCGCCGGAAGGTCCCTCGAAGCCTTCCGCACCAGCTACGACGCGCAAACGCCGTGCAACCCTAGCGGGCAAGAAAGCCACTAGTCTGAAGCCAGGTACGTTGTCATCGACTCCGTGAACTACAACAACCCCATAGCCATTGTCGTCGCAGCAGATACAGAGCTACCACAACCCCTCGCAATTGATTCCTCCCGACCAGGTATGGCTCATGGTCGCTCCCGTATCCGATATGTTCATAATCTTCCTCAGCTCCCGCTAGAGCGAAGAAGGCGTCAACCAAAGGAAAGGCCAGCAAGGCAGCCCAACGTGCTGCTAAGGGTGCGCATATTCTTCGTGTGTATGCTATCCGACAACCGGATTGATCTCATAACAGATGACCCGCCTCAACCCACGCGATCTGCGAAGCGCAAGACTCCTATCGTTCGCCCTACGTCCCCGCATACGGCCGACGTCTCAAGCGACGACGAACCGCTCACCCTCCTGTCTGAGAAAGCCCGGAAAACGTCAGCCGGCACAAAGCTCTCTTCGCGTGGCGCTTCGACTAGCAAAGTCGTAGATGGGCTCGACTCCAGCGACGTGAAGACTACTGCAAGGCGGAACAAATCTTCTCAGGGTTCGTACACGTCAATTCTTTCCAACGTGCGTCACTAAGCGTTCCGGTACAGCGAATGCCAAGACGAAGGCGAAGGCGGCACCACCAGATGTCAAGTCAGAAGATCCACCTCTCTTCAAGAAACCTGCCAAGGGTAAGCGGAAAGCCGAGCCTGTGGATGAAGCCGAGGTTTCCGAAGGTGACTTGCTACTTTCACCTACTTCGATCGTCGCACTGACCTGCTTGTCCAGAACCATGTGAACGCGCGCATACTGACGGTGGAAGGGTGATCAAGCGGACGAAAAGGAACGGCAAGGTTACTAAGCCCTCCACGGACTCGATACCAGTCTCTGAGGACGAAATACAACCTCTGACGCATAATGAATCTGGACCACACAAACGCGGTTTTCAGCCGGAGCCAAACGAACCTGCTCATAGTCTGTCGCCAGAGCCTGCATTAGCAGATCGACCTGCCCGTAAACGTCTCAAAGCACAAAAAGCGGGCACAGGTCAGCAGAAGATCGCTCCCAACGATGAAACAAAAGGCCAGGACCACGATCGTCGCCCGTCCACTGTAGAAAATGTCAAAGCAACGCGCAAGGTCTCGCGTGTGAAAGCCCCGTGAGCCGCTTCTGTGCAATACAGCAATGTCCACTCATGCAAGGACTTCAGACCAGTTCCGGTGCCAAACGGGGTCAGACTCAAACCCAAGCCGCGCGTAAGTGGGCGTAATCTGGCATTGTATGTATGCATTCTGACCGGCTGTATGACACGTAGCCACGGTTGTCAATGTTCCAGCCGCCCCCAGACAACGACGAAGACAGCGACCGGGATCCGATAGACTTCCTGTCTTGACTGCTCCGACGTGTTGTTTTCGGGCCCCAGGAACATGCCACTTGCTAGCCATGAGGGAGGACATAGGCCGTGTAACATAGGGATTTTGTTCTGTAGTATACGCCGTTGCGGCGCTCACCTATCCACATAGTGCAGTCGAGCTATGCTGAAGCTAGAGCTCAAGATGTGCCATGGCAAAGCGAATGTCTGAGGCAGATCAACCAAGGCGACATCCATGCGCATTCTAGGCTTCGTATCATACAGTCTTGGGATTGAGGATGCCCGTAGCAGCAGGCAGTACAGCGTCCTCGTCCCTTCCTGCGTTACATTATGACGGTATGAGTCGATAGAGCGGGAGACGAGCAAGTATGCCGTGGACAGACGTACCTTCGTAGAACTTCTGGAGGAAGGTGCGTGGAGGCCGACTTCTAGGTTGGAGCAAGATGCCCATGATGTGGTCGAGCTGCTTCCAGCAGTTCATGGTCTCCTGAAATTCCTGCTGACCTTTCTGGACGAGGACGTTGATGACGCGGGTATCGGTGATATAGCGGTTCTGCTCAAAGTGTTGGCGGATGCAGTGCCGGACGTACGCGGGCGAGACATTGAGGGCATATAGCGTGACGATTTCGGGTGCCTAGAGCCGACGGAATGGATGAGATGAGGCACCGCTGAAAGCTCAGGGAAGGGCAAAACGCACACCGCGGTACCAGTCGCGGTAGAGCTTGAGAACGCGGCTGCGGGCCTCCTGGGGGCTCGAGGAGATGTGGGCGGCACGAGCAAGTCTGGATGGGATGGTGGTCATCCTCAGGGAAGCCGGGTGTGGATGAGAGCGAGTGGGAGAGGGAGAGGACGGCGCGAGTCGGGCGCGGACGTTGCACTCCGAGTCGCTGTGCACGTGACAGGGCTTCCTCTGCAGCAGCCTGGAAGAACAGCCTGCGTGCGTCTACCTCCCTACTTATCTCTTCCAATCACCGTCGACAAGAGCACCCAATTGCACACCAGACACACAATGGCTCGAGGAACATTCAAGCAGAGGCGTGGCGGAGGCAGGAGGTTCGTCGCCCTCGCTCCGATCTGCCCTCGATTTAACCGTCCTTCGTCTCCGATCTCATAGCTTCAGGTACGTGCGCTCGCTCCCAGGCAAGTCAACAAAACTGTTTCGCTCACCCTCTACCCTCTCACACAGCAAGAACCTCGTCTTGGACGAGAACGGGACCGCTGTATCCAAGGACAAATTGTTCGCCGTCCAGTCCTGCTAACTCCGTTGTCTCAATTGGCTCACGCGTTTCGCCTACCACCAATCGTGCTTCGCCATATCCTCTTCACCTGTAGGGCTGCTCGAGATCGCGATGAAGACGACGACGACGATGACGAAGAGGAGGAAGAGGAAGAATCCGAGGACGAGGACGAAGACGGCACCGCGCCCAATGCCTCTCAACCTGAGCTCACCCGTGCCGAGCGCCGCGAGCTGAAGAAGCAGAAGGCTCAAGCAGCGCAGGCCAAGAAGCAACCTAACGGTGATGCCGAGGACGAGGAAAAAGAGGGAAATGATCCCGTCCTCGTCAACCCGAACCGCTCTGCGGCCAAGCACAGGAACTTGTCAGATCTCAGCGCCCCGCGTGAGCTTTCGCGCAGGGAAAGGTCAGTCGCGCCCGTACCTCATACTTGCATGGCCTAGCTGATGTCCTCTTTGCGTCATCAGGGAGGAGAAGGAGAAGAAGGACGCCAAGGAGCGCTACTGGAAGGTACAGTTACCGTTCACCATCGAGTTCGAGTTCGCATAAATTGGATTTCGCATGCAGCTACATGCAGCAGGCAAGACAGACGAAGCCAAAGCCGACCTCGCTCGTCTCGCCAAGATCCGTGCCGAACGGGAGGCTGCTCAGGCCAAACGTAAGGCGGAAGCTGAAGGTGTGTTCTTCTCGTCTTCCGCAAGCGCAAACGATAGATGTTCATATACCCACAGCGAAAGCGGCTGAGATTCAACAGAAGCGGAAGGAGCAGATGGCAAAGAAGCGTGTTTGAAGCAGTCGTTGAGTGACTATGAGTTGTATCACCAATTTCATGTACGATTAGACTGCAACTGCGCATGTATCACTACCGTGTCTGTACCAGCGTGCTTGATATCGCATACCTCCGCGGGACGCTTCACAAGACGACTTTCATACTGCTGAGCTGGCTAGTGAGTTCCGTAGATTCTGGCAGTTAGATCTTCGCCAAACGTCGTTCGTGCCCTGAATAACATTTCCGTGACCACAACGAGAGCAACTACTGAAAAGATACGCTTCAGCTAAAGGTTGAACCTCTCCTTCGCAATGTCTGCCACCCGCTTTGCCCTGAATTGCCCTAACTCCCTGAACCATTTGACCCTCATCAACGCTTTCTGCGTATCGTTCCTTCCGGGCACGTTCTCCCGCCCTACCCACTTCGTAATCCACTTCAGCAGCTTGATATACTGGCTCTCTCCACCTCTCAACCTCTGGATCCACGGCCCCTCAAAAGTCACCTCCCCCCAGTGGACAAGTGCGGTCGCGAGTGTGTCCCGCGACGGGCGTACCTTGAGGTAACGCATCCAGGTGAGAATGAGCGGGATCTGCGCCGCGCCGTCCTCCTCTGCGAGGAGATCGAACCACGCGCGGAACATATCGTCCTCGGGCACGATACCGAAATACAGCCTCTGTTCCTCGTGATATAGATGTCCGTAGGCAGCCTCTACCGGAGCGTCGTCCCCAGGGTGCGAAGCGAAGCTGTGCAGGAGGTCGGACATGGGAGAAGTGGCCTGCTCCCCAGCGTTCCTCCGCACGGCCTGGAACGGCGCGGTGAACCCTCTGAGCTCTGGCCAGTTCGTCGTCAGCACCTCAGACGCGATCCGCAGCGCGACCGCCCCGGCCCTCTCGCCTCTCCAAAACGCAGTGCCGGTGCGCTTCTCGTCCGTTGCCAACAGCGCCTGCAGAGCGGCCTTGGCCTCGTCTTTCCCTAAATTCGTCCAGTCCTCGTGCGCCGCCTGAACCTTGCGCGGCAGCACGCGTCCGAGGCCAAAGTCCGCGATGGCGACTTGCAATGCGCCCTCGTTCTTGCGCGCGTACCGCGCCGCTTTGAGCACGATCGCAAGCGACACGGAGTCAGGCTCGACGCGGAAGAGGCGAGGCATAGTGTCCCAGATGAAGAAGACGGCGTCCAGACGGCCGATGCGGAGGAGGGAGACCATGAAGCTGTTCACGGCGTGGGTGTCAATGGTCTTTGCGGCTGGGGCGTACGTCCTCGGTAGGAGCACACCGTTGTCTCCTGGCCCGAGTCGACTCGTACCACTTGCTATGTCTCGTTCGGGCACAAGCGAAAGGAGAAGGCGGAATGCGGCATCTGGTCGGCCAGCCATGGTCAGAGCCTCGACGGCGACCGTCGTCTCAGGCGCACTAAACTTGTCCCTCTCCTCCCAAATCTCCTCAAGGAGCCCTGCGGCCTCGTCGTACTCGGCCCTCTTGAGTAGGCCCTTGATGACAACGGAGTAGCACCAGAGTCGCTTGGTACCACCACCAAGACTTTCCAGCCCTGAGCGCAGGATGCTGAGTAGATGACGCGATGGAATCCGGAGGTTGTTGGCCATGACACGGAGGGCTGCCATGAACACCTTCTTCGGAATCCCACTCGGGCCAGGGAGCATAGGCGTCTGGTCGCTTTGGCGTACAGTAGGGTCCGCGACCGCACGCGCTGTGGTCTCGAGCAGGTACTTGATGTATAAGCTCACTTGTTTGGGCTTCTTCGAAGCGCGCAATGTCCCTTCGAGCAGGAGAGCCTGGGATCGACTGTCATTAACGTACTCCGCCTTCCGACCATAGTACTCCCCATGACGGATCCGTCTCCAGAACCTCGCAGCAACCGTGCGCTTGCCCGCTAGGCCATATATGCGAACGAAAGCGTGCGAGTGGGAAAGGTTGGGCGAGTAACCTCGGGCTTCCATGTGCTGCTCAACCTTCTTGGCGATGTAGCCGGTGGTGGCAGGGTTCTCCAAGATGGCGCGATACGTCCTGACACCCAGGTCGAGATGCCTGCGCGTAGCAACGTCAAGGAGGAGGGCCATCATGGGTTGCAGTTCGTTTGCTGGCTTAACCTGGGCGAGAATGCGGAGCATGAGAGCCACGTGGAGGCTTTGTGGTTCATTCTTGGCATAGATGAGGCGGAGGACGACAGAATGAAGGGGGGCGTATAGAGCGAAATTGGCAAGCCAGTAGGCAGAGAGCAGGTGAACGAGGGGGAAAAGCTCGTGGGAGGCCTGAGGATGATTGAGTGCGAGGAGTGTAGCGGCAAACGCTTCGTAGGCGGTAGAGGGAGGTTTGGAGAGGACGGAGAAGATGACCGAGGTGGGCAGCACAGAAGCAGGGGAGGGGCTCTGAGATTGAGCAGCCTCGGTGGAGAGAATGTGATCGACATGGTCGAGAGCAGACGCGAGGTTGGGAGCTTGAACGATGTGGAGCCATTCGTTGTCCCCCTGAGAGTTGGCATCGTCAGAAGAGCCTTGTTCGAGTGGTGGAGTAAGCGCAGGAGCAATCAGCGCTAGGGAGGGATGAGGAGAGTGCTTGAGGAATATGTTGATGAGGCTACGAGGTTTGAGGAGATAGACCTCCTTCCGGGGAGGTCTGGGAGAAGAGGGACGTGGATTACGGGCATACTGGCGGTAGGAAAGCTTTGGAGCCTGTAGATGAGTGCGGAGTGCACTCCGCAACATACATCTGCACGGAACAGGATCAGCAGGTGAGAGAGGCGTCGAGAACAGACGAGGCGTACCAGGACGGCTGTGGCAGGGGGCAGGGGCCGACTGACGTGTCTCGGGGCGCGGGATTTGTCGCGCAGAGAGGCACGCGGTACCGACGCGTCTTCTGGTACTCAGAGTATTGTGAAGGCTGGCGACGACGGTGCCGACAGCTTCAAGGCTACTCGAGAGGTGCTTGAGACCGATGGGCGCAGCGAGCAGCGCGCGCCAAGCATGCGCCCAGGGCTCGGCCACCGGCCCGATTAGGGAATTGGGGCGGAGCACAGTCGGAGTGGAAAGCTGCGGTCGAGGTGCACCCACAAAGGGCGGGGAGCGGCCCCGGTGGTTCGTCCGCTTTCGCCACGTCCTCGCCGCTCTCCCTCGCATTCTACCCAGCTCCCAGCTCACCGTACACAAGCAGAACGACGGCGGTGCGCATTGAGAGTGACTGATTCGACAGCATGCCTCGCATCCTCTTCGTCAGTGGGTTCCACCCAACCACTCGCGCTCGGGACCTTGCCTATGAGTTTGAAAGGTGTGCATTGCCCGCCCTCTCCTTTGCCCCTCACGGTGAACCAACCTCCCCTCTCCCTTCTTTCGTTTGCAGGTATGGCCCTCTCGTTCGCTGCGACGTTCCTGCGCCCCGCAACCCCCACGCCAATTCCAACCCGTAAGTCTTCCTTTCTTCTCCGTCCAACCTCTTTCCGCAGTCGCGTCTATGTCGCGTCGGCCAAACCCCGCTCACCGCGCAACAAACCTCACGTCGTCGCTGCGAGTCGTCGTCGTCGTATCCGAGTCGTCGCAGTCGTCGTTGCCGAATCGTCGAGTTACGCCGGAGCCGCACCCCCTGTCGTCGCAACACCGTAGCCCTAGCACGGACCGCACGCGCTTCCCGATTCGCATTCGCATTCGCTTATCCCTCGTCGCACCGAACCATCCGAGCTCAACATGCCCCTCTTCTCGCAACGCAGTTACGCTTTCGTCGAGTTCCGCTCTCAGCGCGATGCCGAGGACGCCTACTACGACATGTGAGTTGCTGCTCCCCTCCGCCCATCGCTTCCCCCCACATCCTCCTCATCGCTGATCTTGTGACCGAACACAGGCACGGCCGTTACTTCGAGGGCTCCCGTCTGAGCATTCAGGTGAGTATGCGCGGCCTCTGTATCACCTAAAGCGCCCACAAACAATGCCTACCTTGTTATAGTGGGCTAAGAACCCGCCCTCTTCCGTTTGGCGCTTCGACCGCCGTTCCCCTCCTCCTCGTCGGGACCGCGAGCGTTCCCGTAGCCCTCGTCGCCGCGGTGGTGACAGGGAGAGGGACAGGGGCTACGACCGCGACCGTGAGAGGGATCGTGGCAGTGATCGCGACCGCGAGCGTGTTCCGGACGACCGGGACAAGGACCGGGATGACAGGCGGCGGAGGAGCCGCAGCCCTGACCGGAGGCGGAGCCCGAGCCCTGATAGGCGGGGCAAGGAAGATAGGGCTAGGACGCCTCCCCCGCCCGAGGAAGTCGACCGCAAGAAAGACATCAAGGATGATGAGCCGCGCGACAGGGCGCAGACTCCTCCTCGTGACTTCTGAAATATCACGGCTGTACTTGGCTGGAATTGCTGAGCTCCTTGCCCTTTGGATTCACTCGGTTTGGGCTCAGTGAGTTTCTGTCGGAGCCGCTTCTCTATTCGTTTTGTCTCTCGGTGAAGAAAATACACTCGTAATGAATGAAATTACTGTAGTGTCAGTATCGTCTCTGTGATGTAATACATGCAAACAACTATACAATCTTGTCGATTGGCGTACGTTCTCGTAGTTTGTGCGTCTTGGGTGCGTTTGATGCCGCGTGCAGAGAAGTGCTCAGCGCGCACACTGTCCAAACCTGCGCAAGAACTGTGAACTTGTCCTCATTCAGGATCCCTCTGCCACGACCGCTGCCAACGTATTCCCCTTCGCCAAGCTTGCGCTACCGTCGTTCGCCCTCTATCATCACACCTCCCTTCAATCTACACGATGACAGACCCGCAGTGGGTGCCGACCGTGCAGGACCTGCGAGTAAGTGTGTCCGTCAACAACCGCCTATGCTTTCTTGACCTTTCGTGTCCTTGACCTTGCTAGGTGAAGCTATGTTACATTTGCCGAGAGGAGGAACGATATGACAGTGCGTCGGAATACCTTATCCTTCCGCCTTCTCTCCCAGGACTGACTCTGCCATCACGCACTGAACCCCTTGCCATTTCGCTCGACATTCCTTCCGCACGGCTGCCGAATCCAACCTCACATCTCGCTCAAGACCCTGAGGACCCTCCCCGCGCTTGGACACATCCTTGTTCCTGCACACTCGTCGCGCACGAGTCGTGTCTCCTCGAGTGGATCAAGTCGGCACAGCAGGATTCCTCCCGCGCAGGGAATGCGCTCAAGTGTCCGCAATGTGGCGCAACATATGAGCTCGAAAGTGACAACCCGCGCATCCTGCGTTTGTTGAATGCAGTCAACGCTGGACTTTCGGCCGCAGGGAAGGCAGCGACGGTGGTGGGCTTTGTAGGATTGACGGCGACCTTCGGATTCAGTGCGTACTCACCGCTTCCTCGACTATCTTGTGGGCACCCGCTAGTGTTGTTCAACTGACGGTTGTCTTCCAGCATTATATGTCGTGTCTACGTCGTACGGCGCGTTCGCCGTCAAGGAGTTCCTGGGCGAAGAAATGTACAACGTCCTCCTCACCGACGACCCCTCTGTGTGGCCCTGGCACGCCTTCATACACCTCCCGATCATCCCGTTCTCCCTCATCCTCTCCAGAACGCGTCTCTTCGATACCTTCCCTATCGTCCCTCTCTTCCTCACTTGGTCGTCGTCGCCACCAGCCCGTGCCACATCTCCTTCCTCCTCACTTTGGACATTCAACCGCACCGGAGCACCCTACGCCCCGCCTCCCCTGAGCTGGCCGCCAACACCAATAATGGGCATGATCCTCTTCCCATTCGTCAGGATCACATACCGCCGATTCTTCAACAAGCTCACCAGATTCGTCATGGGCACGCACGCCGACGCCGCGAGCAGAGACGGCGGTCCCATCCGGCGCGTCATCTGGGCCCTGAACGAGAACGGCCCCGCTCCTCTCCGTGTTCGCATCGGGGCGAACATCCAGCCCGTTGCAGGGCAGGCCGTGCCCCGCGCTGGCGGCGCAGGTGCGCAAGACGGTCAAGGCGAACCCGCGGTCCCTCCCGAGGGCGAAGGGAACAACAACCTGCCCGACGACCCTGCCGCCGTCGCCGAACGCACTCTCCACGTCACGACCTCGTCCCTCGGTCGGTTTGTCGGAGGCGCGTTGCTCGTGCCTACGATCTCGAATCGCATGGGCAAGCTTCTCTACCACCTCTCTCAGTACCTTCCCTGGCTCCGCGCATTCCTCGCCATTCGTGATCGGCCGGCAAACGTGCCTGCCCAGGTAGGGCTGTTTGGCGCCCCGGTTGGGAACTCACATTCTCCTCTGCGGCAGATCGGAGCGCATCTAGCCACAGGTATCAACATCATGTTCGGTGGGACGCCGACGTGGAACGCGCAGGACCCTGTCTGGTGGCGTAACACAGTGGGCTTAGGCTTGTTTGTCTTTGTGAGTGACATCGATCATACGTCTCAAAAGCCATCTCTGACTTCACTGCAGGCGAAGGACTGCGTTCGCCTCCTCCATCTCTACCTCACGAAACGCGAGCTTGAGTCGCGCAAAGTGAAGAACCGCTCTTTCGCGGGTGTGGACATTAGAGAGCTTGACCTCATCAACCCGCCACCAGAGAGCAATGCATCTAGTACAACAGAACCACAGCCTGCACCGGCACCGGATGTGACTGCTTAGATTAGGATACTCGACTCTGTATTACGCACCCTACTCTCCCTGTCGCATTGCTTTGGTCGATCATATGTCGAACTGTTTTAGACCACAACGTAGCATACAATAAGATCCGCAACACACAACACAATGACGTAGCATACGTGACGGAAACGACAGGCGCATCAATACAGAGCGCAATGGCGCAGGGATGATATGGTGATAGTGACAACTCTAATGCTACAGACGATGGCAGCTTGAGTACAACGACAAGATCTACAACATGAAGGCGGCTTAGTCCACTTCAAGTACAGTGCCACGCTGTACGCTACCCCATCCTGTGCATCGGGTCAGTCTCTGAGGCGATGGGTCTATGATGGAACATAAATACGCACCAACGAGACGCCAGTGCTTCTCGATACGTCGTGACAAGGCAACCTTCTCGCCAACCTCAGTACACGCGGGGGAAGTGAGCTGTATCTTCGCAAGATCGCCCTTGACTGAGAGCACACGACCACCGGTCGACGTTGAGCCGATATTGATGAGTAGAAGCTCGTTCTTGACGAGCTTGGACACCTTCGTCTGCTTCTTGTCCTCGGTCTTGACACCGAGCAGTCGACGGAGCAAGAACAGGCTGATCTCAAGCTCTGCAGCCCAAAGCAGCACCAGTAGAAACCGTGGTCAGCCTTTCAACTACCTTCGCAAGATGTGAAGCAGAGACGTACCGGTGAAGATCTTAGGCAACTTGCCTACCGCACCCAGCACTTGACCGACCAACCGATCCGCACGACAGAGCGTCGGGTCGATTCGCGTACCCACACCTATCAAACCACCCGGCACCGCGAACTGGAGATGATTGCTCTCCGCGTGCAATGAAACTATACGCGAGAAGATTGGCTTGCAACGATTGCGGCCCTGCGCGTCCTTGGTCACGATACCTGGCCGGATTTCGACCTCCTGGCCAAGGCGGAGGACGCCGGTGAGGATGGAGCCACCAGCAACACCGCCCTTGAGCTCGTCAACCTCGGCACCAGGCTTGTTGACGTCGAAGGAACGGATGACAATGAGGCGGGGGTCAGCGGTAAAATTACGGGTGGGGATGGGGATGCGCTTGACGATGTATTCGTTCACGGCATCGATGTTGTATTTGAGCTGAGCAGAGATGGGGACGATGGGGGATGACTCCGCAACGGTACCTGTTTGTGTTACTGAGTATTAACAGACAGCCTAGAAGAAACATTTCCGGATGCCCTACGTACCCTTAACGAACGCCACGATGCTCTTATGATGCTCTAGTGCTTGCTCCTCCTTGATCAAGTCGACCTTGTTCTGGAGGATGATGATGTTTTCTAGCTTCATAATTTCGACAGCTGCCAAATGTTCGCTCGTCTGCGGCTGAGGGCACGTCTCGTTGCCGGCGATGAGGAGGAGGGCAGCATCCATGACCGCAGCACCGTTAAGCATTGTAGCCATCAGAATGTCGTGACCGGGGCAGTCGACGAAAGAGACATGGCGGACGAGCTTCATTCGAGAATTGCAGCCAGGGCGTTCGCAGGGAGGGTTGTCTTCCTTGTCGGAACGGTAGGACTTGTAACAGCCGGGACGGGGGCAAGCCTCGTTCTCGCACTTGTAGATCTGCATATGGCGAACGATAGACGCGGAAACATGTGTGAGCAAGTTGGAAGGGAAGGTTCACGGAGCAAATAGAGAAACAAACAGAAAGGACGTGGGGCAAGTTTTGGGAAGTGGTATACGAGGAAATTAGTGGGTGTGCAAGTAAGGAACACGGACCTTGGCATTAGCGTATCCAAGCTTGATGGTGATGTTGCGAACAAGCTCATTCTTGAAACGAACGGTCATGACTCCAGAGATGGCCTTGACCACGGTAGATTTCCCGTGAGCGACATGGCCGATGGTTCCTGATCCCATGAGGCTCATTCAGCATCATCTGGCACGCTGAATACCAATGATCACACGGACCTAGGTTGATAGTAGCCTAAAGGATATGACATGAACCGTCGGGGACGCAAGAATAGCTTGGTAGGACGCACCTGTTTTGATATGACTTCTGGAGACAAGGGGGTGAGTTTTGAAGGGTCGATCTCGACCTTGACAATCTGCTCGGTATCGCTCTCCTCCTCTGAGTCACTTTCATCGTTGACTTTACGACGTGTCTCGTCTCCAGCCATATTTTGCACTTGGAATGACGCTTCTCGAGAAGGCGGAGGAAGGGAGCTGGAAGGGCAAAAGACTCTCGAGTCGAGCTGAAAGCACTCATCTTGACGCAGATCAGATCTCTCTCGAGTCACATCCTCTGTCACACCATGTCACACGCTCTCGTCACGCCAGCAGGACTTGCGACTCTTTGAGTCATATCTCCTTCGACGACGGTCACTACATCCGTCTCATTAACGAGGATGCAGCTCTTTCGGAGGTCTCATTCATTTTGGTCTTCAGTTGACCAGCGACTAGTGGTCCCCACACCTGTTGAGAATACCAATGGCTGCTCAGTCCCGCGCCAACTTTCGCACTAATACAACGGCACAAACTACACTACTACGAGTCAGTATGTCCGACATGTCTGGCATCATGCTGTGCGACATATTGTCCGTCTGTGGCTGATATCATAACTTGATACAAGCGCTCCATGATCACGGAACGCTCTTCCAGGTCTGCTTATCCGATTCTACTCAGTAGCAGACAGTTTGAAGGAGGTCGTTTCGAACGTCCCAAAGTCTCGCCCAAAACATAGCGCGCAGTCGATTGTGATTAGTCAGTGCTGACATGACCAATCAGCACTTGCAAGGCAAGTATACGCCGGTGCAGTACTGCTTCAAGACGTGCTTTCCCAGAGCGCCCAACTTGAGATCGCCTCGGAAGCAGTCAATGCTGGGTACAAGTACAAAGACAGGGAGCTTACTTGATCAATTCCCGGCCCATTCGTCATATTCCCGCACGTCTTCCAACACGCCCGGCATATGCAATCACCGATCGGCCCTGTCATAACGACGGACACCACGCAATGAGCTCAATCGCCCCCCCCTCGCTGCTGTCCCATATAAGAGGGTCCGACCGAAATGTTGTCCCGTATCACAACCCTTCTCGCCCGGCGACCCTCTCAAAGTATCAGGAATATGTCTTCTACCGCTACTCCCGCACTGTTCCAGCCGATCCAGGTCGGAGAAACCAAACTCAAGCACCGGGTCGTACTCGCACCTCTCACTCGGTTCCGTGCTAACAAGGCACATGTTCACTCCGACTTGGCCGTGGAGTACTACAAGCAACGGGCGAGTGTGCCAGGCACCCTACTGATAGCAGAGGCGACCGATATCGCTCCTCCCGCGGGGGGGATGGCCTACGTCCCCGGGATTTATTCCGACGAGCAAGTCGCTGCTTGGAAGAAGGTGGTGTTGTGCTCATTTCATGTCACTAGAAACTGTCCTGATGAATATCACAGGTCACGGATGCCGTACACGAGCAAGGGTCTTACATCTTCCTGCAACTATGGGCTATGGGCCGCGCGGCACGTGCAGTAGGGCTCCGAGACGAGGACGCGGACTACCCATATGTTGCACCATCTGCGATTCCTCTGAAGAGGAGCGCCGATGACATCCCACGAGAGCTTACAAAGGAAGGTCAGTGTCCCTCCGAGCAGAAGTCCGTCAAGATCTCGCTCGCCAATCCCATTTGACAATCTAGAGATCAAGCAATATGTGGACTGGTTTGGAGAAGCCGCCGCCAACGCGGTTCATCGTGCTGGCTTCGATGGAGTCGAAGTACACGGCGCGCACGGCTTCCTTGTCGACCAATTCCTCCAGACGGTGTCAAACACGCGTACGGATGAGTATGGGGGCTCCATCGAGAACCGGGCGAAATTTGCGCTGGAGGTGATGGAGTCCATCGCCTCTGCCGTGGGACAGAGTAGGGCCGCTATCCGTCTCAGTCCTTGGGCCCAATTTCACGGTTTGTGGCTTGTATGACCATATCCGCTCACTTTGGTTCTGACACATCCATGGCGATTAGATATGCGAATGGATGACCCGATCCCGACCTTCACCTACTTGGTTGAAGAGTTCAAGAAACGGCTCCCGAATCTTGCCTACCTCCACTCGGTCGGTCTGGGTGCGCCAGACCAGCTGGGCCCCGAGGACAAGTCGGTGAGCTGCAGTCTTGCGAACGCCATACCTACAGTCCCTTACATGATCAACAGCAAACGGACTTCATCTACAAGCTATGGACTCCTCGACCTGTGGTCAGCACGGGCGGGTACGATCGGGAGACCGCTATCAAGATCGCGGAAGAGACTGGGCAGCTCGTGGGATTTGGGAGGCTTTTCCTCGCTAACGTGAGTCAACACATGACAGGTGTAGAACATGAGTTCCTACGCTAATCGACTGGACTGCAGCCCGACCTGCCGTTCCGTTTGGAGAAGAACATTCCTCTGAACCCTCTTGAGGAGGAGACGATATACACGCGCCAAGCGGCCGAAGGTTACACTACATATCCGTTTTCGGAGGAATTCCTTAGGTCCAGGTCGTCGTGATGAGATAGAACAGGATGCCCCCCTTGACTTATCATATATTTTATGACTTGAACGAACTGTCGTGGGTGGAGCGTAGGTTCCATTCGGGTGGGACAGCGGCGGTCACACCTACCGTAACCGAACTTCCTGCTCAAGACTGGAGGCTCCTGAGGCCCGAAACGCAACAATGAGTCTTGTAGGATTCGGACATGGCATCAGAAGGGCTTTGTGGTTTTGGATGTATTATGCAGCCCGCGTGCGGTGCAGCGGCGGCTTGGAGTGACATCATTCAGGGTACCCCACCAGACTCCAGTCACTGGCATGCACTCGCACTCAGGCCCTCGACCCGCCTCCCATCTGCTCTATCTTCTCGTACATTGCGATAGACACTTCCTCAACATGTCACTGGCAGACGGTATGCCATCGGCCCAGATGACGACCGGTACCACCCACTCACGTCTCTTTCGCAGCCGACGCCAAGTTCCCGGCGAACGGAGTCCAGCCCTCTGGTATCCCGCCATCTCCTTCCAGAGAGAATCCAGGACAGGTATCTTTCTCATCCAGAGCCGCGTGAACGTTACAGTACTCCTGCTCACTCTTGTGAATGCACAGGTGTTCCCGAAATCTGACCCCGAGGGTACGAGCCCCTTGCTCTGACATTATATCCTCACTAGTGACTGAGACCTCCTTGCGTACAGCCGCTCCCCCAGCATCAGTACCAGGTACGGGCGGCGGCCACGAACCATCAGCTGCGGAAGCCCTCGGCAACCCTTACGTCCTCGAAGAGGCCTTCTCCAAGCTCGACCACGCCCTTACCGAACTCATCACGAAGATACAGGGCGAGGAGCGCCGCGTCGGTGCCGGCACGAGCGGGGAAGCCCTTGTCCGCAAATTCACGGGCTGGCGAGACGAGCTGACGCAGATCCGGAGAGGACAAGGGGGTGCGACAGGCACTCGAAGGGATGCGAACGAAGCGGCGAGGCGGAAGGAGGGTGGCCTGTTCGCAGACTAGAGCATGGCCCACGGACCGGCAGGATTGTCCGATGGAATGTAGTCTCAACATTAGTGATATGTGACAATGCACGAAGCATGAAATCTACAGGGGTTCCCAATCCTCAAACGAATCCGAGTACGATACTCATACACGGCCCCCGCCTCACGCAGAGAGGCAGCAAGTCACGATCCGTGTGCAGCAGCGCGTTCCCATCGTCTCCAGGGTTCCGTCCCATGGACGAACCTGGCACCCAGTACCGTGAAGATAATGTGCTCCAAGGCGTCCGCGAGATGCAGCGCGCACACCGCGAGTGCATTCAGAACACGTGGAGCCCTACTGTCCAGCGGATGCTGAGATACCATCGCCGCAGACGAGACGAAGCTACGGGGCAGCAGCGACGCGCGCAGTTTCTGGGTCCAAGACAGGCCAGGGTGCTCCATCGAAGAAGCAGAGAAGACGCGCACGAACAACTCGTCCGAGCTCACGCGGAACAGGTCGTCCGCCCGCCTGAGCAGGAGCAGATGCGCCGGTGAAGGCGCCAGGAGGAGGGTAGTGAAGAAGCGAGGGGCAGTGTAGTAGACCACGAGCTCTTCCCGCTCGCCTTCTCCGTCGACAAGTGCGGTCCAAGGGGAGAACGTCAGGTCAGGCACAGACGGGTCCCCAGAGACGAGGGTGATGTCCAGACGTAGTTCTTCTGCACGTCGAGAGAGAAAGTCCGCCGCGATCCTGCGCGAGTACGCCTCCAGCGGGCCTTCGTCCTGCCATCCAACCCCTCCATACGCGCGCGACACGGGGTCCTTCGCGCAGTCAGCAGCGCCCTGACCCGGCTGCACGCGACGCGGGTGGACGCCCCAGTTCGCCATCGCAGGTTTCGGGTCGGGACGAGGAAATACGTCTAGACGCTTCACATAGTGGAGGACCCACGCGTGATACAGAATACGCGAAAACGACAAGAGCAGCGCAAAGGGGTAACGCGTAAGGGTTCCCACCAGAGTGCTGCACGTCAGGGGCACGGCGCGCCGTGCAACCTGTGTTGCGGTGAGCTTCAGGGGGCCGACGGCACTCGTCTTCTCCGAGTCAGCACCCAGAGAGTCCGCTGAGGCGTGTAGGTGTATGCGGATCTTCGGCCGAGGTGGGCTTGAAGCAAGCGCAGGAGAGCGAGGTGGTGGTGGGGCAGAGATGGCTATCGTGTATTTCCCCAGACGGTCATTGAAGGGAGAGACGTGGAAGCCCCGGTCGATCGTCCACGAATGGTCGAACCTGAGATGTCCAGCAGGAGATATAAGATACGAGATAGACCTCACGCCGTCCTATACATGATGGCCAGACGCACCCTTTCGGTCTGTTCTCGTCCTCACGCACGCCAGGAACCAGAACATGCACATGTTTCTCGCCAAAAGTGTTGTGTATCTGCTTCATGTATGAGCCCTCACAATCTACACGTGAAACATAGCGCACGTACCTCGAAGACGGTCCATGCCATCCTCTCCTCCCCCCTCCTATAGCAATAATGGACGGTCAGAGGATTGATACCCTCGTAGCCCATATAGCTAGGCATCGTCAGCATCCAGACATCCCCCAGCTCTCCCCCATCCTCCCCATGCTGTTCAAGCACCTCCCGTAGCTTCTCCTCGATCCCCCTGGACTTCTTCCCGTCCCTGCGAGAATCAGGGAGGAGGTACGCAGCGCTCCGGAGGCCAGTCACTCTCCAGGACACGCCGCCGTATCCAAAGAGCCAGCCGCCAGCGAGGTCCAGCGAATGCGATTCGAGCGCATCGAGTGAGAGGAGGAAGGCAACAGTGGGATAGCTGAACGCGTGCGTAGACGGCTCCGGCAGCAGCCGCGCGTGGGTAACCGTGTTCTCCAGAATGTATGCGTTGTTCGGTGCGCTCTTCTCGTCGCCCTTGTGCGCGAGGTAAAGAGCAGCACTGGCAGCGATGGCCACGACCGAGGCGACCACGGCCTGAAGCATGTTAGGGGACTGAAGAACAGTACTTGCAACGGTGAGAACGCCGACAGCTGCTTCGCTCTGCTGGCCATCCAGATCGAGGTCCTGGCAACGGCATCTCACGTCACACGCAGCATCATGTCGTTTCATGCTAGTTCATTACAGAAGATAGAAAGACATTAAAACAAATAGACGTGAGTAGCATCATACAGCGAGAACGAATGACAGGTGAGCTGGCGCGGCGTAGAGGCAATGGATCATCGTCCGCGTCATCTACGCTCCCTCCCATCTATCCGACCTAGGCACCACCAAACCCCCTAAGCAACCCTGAAAGCGTTCATGCCTGCTTTGCCTTGGACGCCATCTGTACGACAACACGTCAATTGACATTTTCAGACCTTGAGCTCGAACAAATGCGACTTACGAGGTTCAGAGCAGAGCCAGCCTTGAACCACTCGATCTGGCCCTCGTTGAACGAGTGCGCGAGAGGGATCTCCTCCTTCGTTCCATCCTCGTGCTTGAGGACGAGGGTAAGGTTCTTGCCGGGAGCGAACGACTCGAGGCCTAGGATGTCGACCTTGTCCGAGGGGCGGACCTTGTCGTAGTCCTCGGGGTTAACGAAGGTGAGGGCGAGCATGCCCTGCTTCTTCAGGTTCGTCTCGTGGATACGGGCAAAGGAGCGGGTGATGATAGCAAGACCGCCGAGGAAGCGGGGCTCGAGAGCCGCGTGCTCACGCGACGAACCCTCGCCGTAGTTGTGGTCGCCGACAACGACCCACTTGATGCCGTGGTCACGGTAGTAGGCAGCGGTCTGGGGGACGGGACCGTACTCGCCGGTGACCTGGTTCTTGACCTTGTTCGCCTCGCCGTTCTCAGCGTTGATGGCACCAATCAAGCAGTTTTGAGAGATGTTCTCGAGGTGACCGCGGTACTTGAGCCAGGGGCCACCGGCAGAGATGTGGTCGGTTGTGCACTTGCCCTTGACCTTGATCAGGACGGGAAGGTCCGTGGGGGTCTTACCATCCCATGGGGCGAAGGGCTTGAGAAGCTGGAGACGCTCCGACTTGGGGTCAACGGCAACCTGAACGGAGGCACGGTCCTCAGGAGGGGGCTGGAAGGTGTTCTGACCGGGATCGTAGCCACGAGGGGGGAGCTCGTAGCCGCTGGGGTCGGAGAACTTGAACGGCTTGCCATCGGAACCGGTGAGAGTGTCGGTGAGGGGGTTGAAACGGAGATCGCCGGCGAACGCAAAAGCGGTGACGATATCAGGCGAGGCGACGAAGGCGTGAGTAGCAGGGTTCGCGTCGTTACGGCCAGTGAAATTGCGGTTGTACGAGGTAATGATGGAGTTGGCCTCGCCCTTCTTCACATCACGGCGATCCCACTGGCCAATGCAAGGACCGCAGGCGTTGGCGAGGACGACACCACCAGCTTCCTCGAAGACGCCGATGACGCCATCACGGTCGATGGTGGCACGGACCTGCTCCGAACCCGGCGTGACGGTGAACTTGCTCTTGGTCTGAAGACCATGCTCGGCAGCCTCCCTTGCGATGGAGGCGGAACGAGTCATATCCTCGTACGAGGAGTTGGTGCAAGAGCCGATCAGGGCCACCTTGAGCTCAGCTGGCCAACCGTTCTTCTCGACCTCTGACTTAAACTTCGAGATAGGGGTAGCGAGATCAGGAGTGAAGGGACCGTTGATGTGGGGCTCCAGCTCTGAGAGGTTCTATAGGTACAAAGATCAGTGAAAACATAGGTACCAATTCATGCTGAAACGCACAATCTCGATAGACTGGTCATACTCGGCGCCCTTGTCGGCCTGAAGGTTGTGTGCGAAACGCTGAGCGTACTTGGCGATATCAGAGCGACTGGTGGCGTTGAGGTAGTCGGCCATGCGGTGGTTGAAGGGGAAGAGGGAAGTGGTGGCACCAATTTCAGCACCCATGTTACAGATGGTCGCCATACCCGTGCAGGAGAGGGACTCGACACCGGGACCGGTGTACTCAACGATAGCGCCGGTACCACCCTTGACGGTGAGGATGCCAGCAACCTTGAGGATGACATCTAGACACGAGTCAATCAGTCATTTCCGGGGATAACAACAGACAATGCTCACCCTTGGGGGTAGTCCAGCCGCCAATCTTGCCAGTCAAGTTAACCTGAATGACCTTGGGACACTTCAACTCCCAAGGAAGGCCGGCCATAACGTCTACAGCATCTGCACCACCAACACCGCACGCAACCATACCAAGACCGCCGGCGTTAGGGGTATGCGAGTCGGTACCGATCATGAGACCGCCAGGGAAGGCATAGTTTTCGAGGATGATCTGGTGAATGATACCAGAACCTGGCCGCCAGAAACCGAGACCGTACTACACGGAGTAACACGGAGTGAGTGACCAGGAACGGGAGCGATAAGCGTCACGAGACACACCTTGGCGGTGGCTGTCGCAAGGAAGTCGTAAACCTCCTTGTTGATGTTGATGGCACGCTCGAGATCCTTGACACCGCCTACCTGAGCCTCGATAAGATGGTCACAGTGGACGGTGGTGGGGACGGCAGCAGTGTCCATGCCGGCGGACATGAACTGGAGGATAGCCATCTAGGGTGGGAGAATGACGTCAAAAACTTTGCGTGTGCATTTTCGCTGGCAAGGACCTACCTGAGCGGTGGCATCCTGGCAGGCAACGCGCTGCAGACGGGGAGGTGCGCACGGAGTGAGAAGTAGGAAGAGGGAGAGAGGGTATGTATATGCGTACGTCAGGACGGAGCTTGAGGTAGCTCTTGCCACGGTCGATGTCCTGGTTGTGAGGGTCGTCAAGATGACCGTAGACAATCTTTTCTGACAAGGTCAGGGGACGCTTGAGCCTTTGGAGGGCGGTAAGGGGGACGCGTCAGGAGCTGTTGAGAAGAGCAGTACGGACCTGTCGCGGATGACGGCGAGGTTGTCCTCGATGCGCTGGTAGTTGATATACGCATTGGGCTCGAGGCGAGACATGGGGACCTTGGTCGCGCCGATGGGTTCTGCAGCAGTGGCCATTCCTGCGGCCAGCCGCTGGAGCGACCGCTTTGCGGCGCCCGACTTTGTGGCGAGATTGAACATGGCGTCGAGGAGGGAGTCGAGGACGACGGAGCCAACGACGAGGCGGAGGAGGGGATCAAGTTGTGCGCGGCAGACTCCGTGTCCAGTGACGAATTTATGACAGCTGATTGGGAGCGGGTCCCTTCGGAGAACTCGCCCGAACATTTCGGCTCGCCCGGCCACTCGACGCCCGGCGTCCCAATCTGCGCCCCCTCATTCGTCCGTCCTCCGCCCGCTGTTCCGGCCCATCGCCGTCGTCTGCCTTCTCAAAGCTCTCGAAGCGTAGCCACTCCTGCTCTCCTCCCATTCTCCCCTCAGCACCCCCAACACCATCCACACAGAGGGCTTCCTGCTCGGAGCCCAGTACACACTACAATACATTCCACCACTCCCCGTCGCCCACGCAGCACTTGCAGCGGCGCGTCATCAGCTCGGAAAGGGACAGGAAACACATGCAGCGAATGACATCCACTCCGCCACGCGCAGATCAGGTCTCCAGACCTCCCGGCGTCTCTCTGACCCCCCTGCGGTTTCCTACTCCTTCCCTTCGCGAATCGCCTCTCTGCCAACGATGTGTTCGAGAATATTATGCGTAGATAGTCTCGTCATCGCTGGGTCCGCCATATCGCCGACGACCGTCCTGTATGTCCGCACAAGGCCGCTTGCCCGGCGCATGTGTACTTGGTATCCGACAAGCTTGATTGCTACATGCCACCTCTCTTCATGGCTGACAGCAGATGCGGTAGGTGTAGATGCTCACCAGCCATCCAAGTCTGTTACGTTACCACATACGATGCGACGGTGTGGTTGCAATCCCCGAATAATGTTACAGCATATGAAACGTATATAATCCCACCAATCAAGCCATTCATGCCAAGTGTCTCCCGTCTTGAGGCTGCTGCGTGAGGAAAATCGCATAGCCAAGCAAAACTCGATTACACGCACCCTCAGACGTTCTCACCAGAGCCGTGTGCTTTCAATCCGAGCTGACAGCGGAGACGAAGCTAACCACGCCGTAACTTACTACACTCTAATTCTACAATCCCATCTCTCGTACACCGACCCATATCATCACCCGCGCATCCCCCCATTCCCCATCAGGCTCAGCACCTCCCCTAGCCTCCCGTTCCCGTGCCCGTGCCCGTTCGCCCCACCGCTCCCATCGCTCAAAGAGGGCATAAATTGAATACGAATAGTCTATGCGCGCGACCCGACCGAACCAACAGACTACCTACCTCTTCTCCGCGTACAGCGCCAGCGCCCGCTCGAGTGTGTCCGCGTCCAGCCCGCGCAGCTTCAGGCACTTCTGGAACACCTTCTTGTCCAGCGCGTACTGCACCTTCGACGCCAAATGCTGCCCCGCCACGAGCGACTTCACCACGCCCGAGATCAGCCGCTGCTTGTGCACGTTGATCAGCGGCTCCAGCTGGATCGACGGCGGCAGCGGCGCGAGCGTCGAGAACACCTCCGGGTGCGCCGGCGTCTCGAACGTGTTCGTCTCCGGGTCGATCCCCACCGGCTCGTGCGGCGCCGTGGGGTCGATCAGGTCCGGCAGGCTGCAGAAGTGGTGCACTTGCGCAAGGTAGACTCCTGCGAGTACGAGTACGAGCAACAGACCATTGTCAGCACGCGAGACAAGGAGAGAACGGGACACGCGGTCACGAACCGAAGAACGGGATGCACGCCGGGTCCTGCGGCGGCCTGGTATCCGACGCTGCACGGCTCCGCGTCGTCTGCGCCTGCCCGTCCGCGCTCTTGACCGGGCCCTCCTGCGCGCTCGACTTCGCCTCCACTAGCGAGTCCACCGTCTGGCGGATGTGCTTGAAGTCGCCCGCGCTGCTCGTCCAGTCCGTCAGGTCGCGCAGCACGCGCGCCTCCCACGTGCCGATCTTGCTGAACGCCTGCCGCCTCGCCTTCGTGACCCACTCGCTCTTGAGCCCGGTGATGATCGCGACGAGCGCGTTGAAGTTCTTCATCAGGTACGCTTTCTGTGAGCAACAACATCGAGACCATCAGCGTTACGTCCGCAGAGAGCGCCATCACACCAGCGGAGGACGTACCCAAGCCAGCCTGATGAACTTGTTGATCACCAACGCCCGCTCGCTCGGGTGCGTCAGCACGATCTCCGACAGCACGAAGTTAGCAAGCAGGTTGAACCTCCCGCGCACCGCCATCAAAGCACTCGTCTTCGACCCGCCCCGACCCTCCGCCTTCAGCCGCGCACGCTCGCGGAGGAAGTGAGACCAGTCGAGGACGTTGGCGTCGTCCGCTGCGCCGATAGCGTGCGACGTGATGAGCTCCTCGAAGCTGATGCTGATGAAGAGCTCACGGTCGATCATCGACAGGTGCTGCATGAGGACCTCCGCCCGATAATTGAGCACGAAGGAGCGGTGTCGGCGGAACTGCAGCTGGATCGAAGCCGGGACGCTTGGCGGGGGAGGCATGTTGGGGGGCGGTTGAGGCGTGCGTGAATCCTTCGAAGGAGACCCGTGAGAGGTGGACGGGCGGGATGGGACACGACTATTGAGGATCTCGATCGGTACTGCATCCTCAACGAAGGGTCGTGCTTCACTGAGCGGAGTAGCTGCCTCGCCCTCGTCGGCCCGGTCCGCAGGGAGCTGGAGGGTGTCAAGTGTGAGCTGTTCGGGAGACGTAGCTGACGTCGAGGGCAGCGCTGCACTGGAGTCCGACGCGGACGGGACCTGCGACACCGATGTGAAGGAGGTCCTCCTGGATCCAGCCTGCGGGGACGTCGCAGACATCCCGATGGTTATGTCCTGGGCAGAGTCTCCCGAAAAGCGCCTCCGCTCGACCTCGCCATAATCCTCGTCAGAGCCCGAACCTTCATCTTCCCGTCCGAAACGGCCGTCAGCCTGCCGCTGGTGAATGGACTGTATCCACTGGTCGACTTTGTTCTGCTTCTCCTTGACCTTCACCTCGTTGATCTGGCCCTCGAGTCGGCGGAGCGCCGCCTCAGCATCGCCGCTCTCGTCGTCGTCGCTGAGCGAGTCGAGGATGGCGTTGATTTGCCACGCCTGCAGCGGGCCCTGAACGACCGCCGCCTCAGCGTTCTCCGCGTCCACCTCCGACGAAGAAGACACGATGGACGACTCTTGGGACAGCACAGACTCACGCGTGCGGATGCCCATCGAAGACACGCTCGACATCGACTGCCTGACAAACTCAAAGTCGCGCCGTGTTGGCAGCTTGCGCGTCGGCTTCTTCAGTCCAAGGCCGGGCGGGGGAGGTATCTCGTGCTCGTCCGATGACAGGTCGGACAGATCCATGTCGTCGATCGAAACAATGTCCAGTTCTTGGGGCGCCCTCCGTACCGCTTCCTCATCTGGAATGCTCGCCGCCTGATACTGGTCCCCATAGACCGAATGAATCTCCGAGTCGTAAGTCATGATAGAGTTGCGGTACTGGTGCGAGGCGGCCTGTTCGTAGCTCGGAGGATCAGACAAAGGCACGACGCTCTCCTCAGACTCGGGTTCCTCGTCCTCCAGAATCCGCTCCGGTGGCGGCGACAGAGTCTCAGGCGGACGAACCCTCACCACGCTCGACGGCGATCGGGGAGACTGTGGGAGCGAGGCGGACTGAGGCGGAGGCGACGACACCGAGACCCCCGTGGTGGAGATCGCGACGGAGCTCGTTGGCGGCCGCTCGACAAGCGACACATTTATCTGACTCTCGACCATCTTCAGGTACTGCTCCACCCCGCCCTTGACCAGGAGCAGATCCCCAGTCTCGTTCGCCTCGACATCGAACGCCGAGACGTCGACCCCGGCCGTCATCGACGGCTGTACCGTCGCGCGGGAGTTCAGCACGCGTCTCCACCGGCCCAGCCGCCCGATCGTGTTCACGAACACGCGCGAGATGGCGCTGTGCGGGAACGGCGAGATGGCGGCATTCGGGTGGGACGCTGCGCCCGCCGCGGGGTTTTGCTTACCATACTGTAGCACGGCCATGTGCAGCGGCTGCCGCATCATGACCAAATCAAGGGCGTTTGCGGACGTGCCGTTGCCCGACGGGAGCCAGAAGGCGTAATCCTGACCAGGCTCGTCAAAGTCGAAGTCGATATCAAAGTCCTCGGGGTCGTTGAAGGAGCGCGCCTGCGAATCGACAGACGGACGCGGGCCATAACTCGGATCGAACGGGGAGGACAGCCGCGGAACGGCCGTCGCGGGGTGGGAGTGGGCATTCGGGTCGGACGACTTGCGCCTGTCCACCGACTTCCGAGCTGCACGGTACAGTTTGCGCATGTGAGCGTCCTTGCAGTCAAGGATCACCTTGCGCAGCTGCCGCACGATTTTCTACAGACAGACGTCAACCAGCGGTGAGCACGGCTACGCCCTCAGACCGACCCGGAAAGAGAAGGTTCACGCACCAATGCGTCCCTGTGCTTCTGCAGAATCGGATCCCTCCGCAGCGAGTTGAGCCACTCCGCAAAGAGCAGCCTCAGCTCGCGGTTCGGCACGAAGTCGACGTCGAAAAACGTCAAGAGCCAGTACCGGATGGCCGTGAACGTCCGCACGCGCACGATCTTCCTTACCATCTCGTCCCGGCTCGTCGTCGCCTCCCCCAGCGCCCAGTGAAACCGGCAGATGAGCAGGTGTCCGAGGTCGACGGCGGGGACGTACGTGCGGTACGTGAGGAAGAATATCAGAAGCTCGTCGTAGTTGAGCTCGGACGTGAGCTGCGCGATCCACCGCTCGATCGTCGCCGCCACGAGCATCTTCTTCGTCTCCTTCGCCCCCGCCGGCGCGTTCGGCGCGCCGCCAAAGTCGGTCGGGGGCTGCATCGAGTACATGTTCGACAGCATCTGGTGCGTCTTCTCCTTGCCGCCCATGCGGCTCCGGCGCGAGCTCGCGGCGTGCGAATGCGCGGAGGACAGATCCGTCGCGCTCGACGCGGCGACCTCGTCGTATGCATCCCGGTCTGTATCGACCTCCGCCCAGATCACGAATCGGGGATCGTCGCGGGGCGCGACGCTGTCCTCCGCGCGCAGGGACAGCCGGATCGTCGGCTCGTTGGGAGTCGACACGATTTTGTCGAGCGTAGGCAGCCCGCGGTACGTCTGCAGCACGTCGAAGAGCGCGGTCGAATACCGCGAGTGCAGCGTCGTCGCGGCAAGGTTCACGGGCGCGACGTTCGGCGTCTCGGGGACGGGCGGCACCGAGGAGATAGAAGACGCGGAAGACGCGATGGGGGGCGTCGACGAGCCGCTGGGTGGCGGCGTCGGGTTGCGCGGATCCTCGTCCGATGCCGCGGACGTGAGAGAAAGCCGGGACACGCGCGACATCTTGGGCAGGTAGTCAGCGCGCGCGGTCAAGCCCGACTCGAACGACTGCACCTCGCGCAAAGCGGGCGCGGAGGCCAGGTGCGCTGGGGACCGCCAAGAAGGGGAATCGAAAGACACCCCCGGGCCAAACGGGTTCGAGATCTCCCCAGTGCGGCCATGGGTGCTTGGTGGGCTGGACGGGGGCGGATGTTGCCGGAATGGCAGGGAAGACGAGCTGGACGCTAGCGGCGATGCGGGGACGTTCGTCCAGGACATGACTTCCGCGAAGAAGTCTCCGGCGGGCCCGCTCGGTGCCCGAGCAGCCTGCGTCTCGGGCGAGGTCTGTTGTGCAGCAGAGACCGCAAACGCGTCCGCGCTCGAGACGCTGTGCGCATGCGGACGACCCGTGGCTTGGGGCACAGGAGATACCGACGCGCCGCCCTCGCCAGCAGGCCCATTGGCGGCCAAGCCGCTTGGGATCGAACGCGTCTTGCGCAGACGCCGAGTTGCTGTCGGTGGAGGACGCGGGGTATTGTCGAAGACCGTGTTCGGTAGCGCGACGGGCGTGATCCCAGACTTGAAGACGGACACGGGCAAGAAGGAATGGACCGACATGCGCGAGCGTCGTCTCGCGTAACCGGGGTGCGGAGAGGTAGTGCTGGAGCCGGGAGCAGCGGAATGAGAAGCCAGGGAGGTCGATTGGCGTTCTTCAGCATCCTGGGCCGCAGCAGCGGGGGCCGACAATTCGCGGAGTCTTGTGGCAGAGATAGACGATCATGGAAACAAGGTCAAAGGGGAGCGGGGACGCGAACGCTGGTGAGGGACCTATGCAGGAGACAATCAGCTGGGATGGAACTCACCCCACACGGTACATCTGCTTTCCGTGCTGGTTCACGAGCGCGGTGATGGCATAGGGAGACCGAATATCTTTCCCTACACCGAAGATATGGTCGTAGCGACGCTTGAGCTCCCTAGCGGCAGCGCCAGAAGAGGTCTCCACGAAAGAGCCGTCCGCTGAAGTAGCACGATGAATGAAGCAGATGCAGCACGGGAAAAGGGTGCAGATACTCACGCGCTATGGAGATGTCCGCATTCGCGATCTCCGGAGGTAAAGGTTCGAAGGTAGGAGCCTCTCCGGCATCGGGTGAGACAAACCTTAGCTGGGAGTTGGGCGAGGACACGGTAGGACGCGGGAGGGCGGAAGGGGGAGAAGCAGGGGTGGTAGGAGGGGGAGGTGCGGGAGGGTCTATCGCCTCCGCGGAGGCGTCGAGAAGTTCGTCAGATTGTGTTGAAGACATGTCGTGAGATTGGATATCGAGTGTTGAGGTTGCCGGTGGTTGCAGACTAGGAGCGATGCATGATATGTGGTGTGTCGAGGAAGGGGGGCAGACGACGAAGAAAGGGAGAGAGCTGAGGGACGTGAGGCCGCGCTTGGGACAAGGCAATCAGCCTTGTCCAAATCCGTGTCATCGCTAACCTTACCGTTCCTCCTTCCCTGAAGCACGATACCACTTTAGCCTCACCCTACGCGTTCGCGATCGCATATTCCAGGTTATATTGCATTCCAATGTCTCACAATACCCTCGCGATTGGCCTACGTACAACGCGTAGTCCTAGGGGTCGAAATGCGCGACTCCATCGTCGCGCGTCTTCGGCCAAGGACCATTACGGCGAGGTTTCCACGACTCCATAATCACCCCATAAACACCATAGCCTTGATGGAACTAACTGGGCCTATGCCGTCACCCGGAAAATCCACCCTGTGAGATTATTGCTTTCTTGGCCCCCCTCGTATCGTGCTTGCTGTCACCGCGGAGGTTCACATCCGCGTCGGCGACACGCTAAGTCCTGGCCCTTGTCTCGATCTGTTGGCAAGCAATGGTCGACTTGGGAACACCGTGCGGTACGTGCGGTACGACAAAGGTATCTACAGGCTCGAGTCATGAGGCAAGCGGGGGAGCCCGATGGTCGACAAGAAGCATCAGAACGCTGGCCTGCCGCTGAGGCTGGCTTCGAACTGCCACCTTTGGGGATCCAGCAGTCCGGCGATGGCCTCCATATAATTGCGATCTACTAGGTCAGCTGATGCTGACAGTGCTAAATGTTTGAAAAGCTCTCTTTAAGGCCGAACGAAAGATTTCAGAAGAGAAGGCGGTGGGATGTCCTACTGAGGAGAACCTATCCTTTCTACGAAGCACCTACAGACCGCGCTATCGTCGAATAAGGCACACGCCACAAACCCAGTGCTGGACATGGCTCAACGAGGCCTAGAGAGGTCGGTCTGGACCCGCCGTTGTGTTGGGCGGTACGAACTACCGGAAGGACAAGCAAGTACCGACACTGCAGAACATTGGTCGAAGATATATGTATGGCTCACGGCGTCCAGAAGGTTCGGAACATGTTCCAGTTGAGACTGCGCTGGCGCGAGGGGGAGGCCTCCTTTTCGAAGCAACATTTGACAAACCGAAATAATCGCATGGCATGCTTTTCCACGCAAACTTTTGGGACCCGTTCTCTGATGCTGCGGTTGAGCTGAGTGAATGAGTAATGTGAGGCGCGCGAGCATGTGCAAGTGCCGTCGGTCGCTAAGGCCGACGGTGGTCGCGGACGGAGCTAGGAAGACTGAGCGAACAAGTGGAGAGACGAACTGTGCATGGCTGGGTAGGAGCTGATTGAGAGCTTGGCTGACGCAACGGCGGCGATTCGGACCATGTACATCTTACCTCGCACGAAGGACCGGACAGAACGGTGAAGATGCGAAGAGGCGGTGTCTACGACATGACTCGCAAGTGAATGCGTGGAAGATATGGCTCGGAAGAACGACCCGGGAGGCACATTGGGGACGTTCGCCAAAAGGCTGCGGTATCGATGAAAGATGATGGTTAAGGACAGATGGAAGGAGGTGGCCGAAGAGGGAGAATGGGACGAGGCCATATGGCAGAGCACGGCTCCTGAGATGGACGAGTATCTACACCGTCCAATCCGAAACGAGCGGATTGGATGTCGAGTCTGACGATGGGGAGACGAGTCAGATATCGCACGTTTGAGCTTTGTGGGCGCAGCAGCCGGCAGTTCGGCCAGCTCGACAAACGGCTTCCTCGCCGACTGGCCACGGCTGTTCAGCTCTGGGCGCAAGCAGACGATCGCAGTTGACAGAGCCCGGTAGACCTCGACGCTCTGGCCGAGGACAGGCAAGGGCAGCCCACAGGCGCCGGGACGCGGTGACGGAGAGGTGACGCTCCCCGATGGATCTCTGATAACAATCGCTCGACGCATATAAGACATCCTCCCCTGCCCTCGTCTCCTCCTCATCTCCTCGTCCCACCTCACTACCCATACCGCAATCATCATGCCTGTAAGTTCTCTCTGTGCACACCTTGCAAGCTGACCCGGTGCTCACCTTCCACTTCGTCGTCCAGGTCAAGGTCGGAATCAACGGGTAAGCTCCAGATCTAATCTACCGCTTCCAGTCAAGGGCGCCGTCCTGATTCCTCCTCCCATCTGTCCCTCCTTTTAGTTTCGGTGGGTATATGCCGTTTTCAGTCTCTGCTTTGCACCGTCATGTTCATCCGACTTGCCCGATCAAGGTCGTATCGGCCGTATCGTCCTCCGCAATGCTCTCCTCCACGGAGACATTGAGGTCGTTGCCGTGAACGAGTGAGCGCCTTTCCCTCACTTCCAATACCCGTCCATTTCTTTCTCATTCCGTCTCACATGTAGCCCCTTCATCACCCTTGACTACATGGTCTACATGTTCAAGTACGACTCCGTCCACGGCCGCTACAAGGGCTCCATCGAGGCCAAGGACGGCAAGCTCTGGGTCGAGGGCAAGCCCATCTCCGTCTTCGAGGAGAAGGACCCTGCCAACATCAAGTGGGGTGACGTCGGTGCCGAGTACATCGTCGAAGCTACCGGTGTCTTCACCACTATCGACAAGTGCGCATATATTCTCTATCTTCTAGCCTACTGGCATCTGACCCGACCTACCCGGCGGACAGAGCCTCTGCCCACTTGAAGGGTGGTGCCAAGAAGGTAGTCATTTCCGCCCCCTCGGCCGATGCTCCCATGTTTGTCTGCGGTGTCAACCTGGACGCGTACGATTCCAAGTACCAAGTCGTACGTAACATTCACCTACCGGCCTTCAACGACCTGTCTCACCCGCATTACCCCCGCCGTCTATCTAGATCTCCAACGCTTCCTGCACCACCAACTGCCTTGCCCCCCTCGCCAAGGTCATCAACGACAAGTTCGGTATCGTCGAGGGTCTCATGACCACTGTCCACGCGACGACCGCTACCCAGCGCACCGTCGATGGCCCTTCGAACAAGGACTGGCGTGGTGGTCGTGCCGTTGCCCCCAACATCATCCCCTCCTCGACTGGTGCCGCCAAGGCCGTCGGCAAGGTCATCCCCAGCCTCAACGGCAAGCTCACCGGGCTCGCATTCCGCGTGCCCACGATCGACGTCTCCGTCGTCGACCTCGTCGTCCGCCTCGAGAAGTCGGCGACGTACGACGAGATCAAGCAGGCCGTCAAGGACGCCTCCACTGGCGCGCTCAAGGGCATCATCGACTACACCGAGGACAAGGTCGTCTCCACCGACTTCACCGGCTCGGAAGCGTCGTCGATCTTCGACGCCGAGGCTGGTATCGCGCTCAACAAGAACTTCGTCAAGCTCATCGCATGGTACGACAACGAGTGGGGCTACTCTCGCCGTGTGTGCGACCTCCTCGTGTACGCGGCGAAGAAGGACGGCGCCATCTAAGCGGGCACTGGGGGTGTGCGCTGCTAGGTTCGCGAAGAAGTATCCTACAACATTAGTTTGTTTTGTACCAATCCGCGCGTGTAGCTCGTGCGATGTACTCATAAAACGCAATAGATCCTTCTCTTTTTCATCATACCCGGTCTGTGTGCGATAGCGCCGGAGCAATCCGAGAAGCCGTGCATATGCGCCGTCCTGTAACGACGTCATGGGCGTTTGATTGAACGCTGGGATTCTTTGTGGGCGCTTGAATAACATCACAGAGTACTTGAGCCAGAAAACCTCCAAGCGACTTCTGAGGTGAATGCCGATACGCTTCCCGCTACCGAATCCCAGCGAACAACACCTGTTCTAATAAAACTGTTGGTAGATTTCGGAATGACATCATGAACGCAATACGGCCACCGCGGACCCCTCATGGTCAGCCTCAGTCTGCCGCTTCGACCCCTGGAATGTCCTCCGCCAGCCGCTACTGCTGACATGGCCAGCCGCCTTTGCACGGATAAAGTCTCGCCTTTTCCTGGAATTACTGCAGACGTCTTTTGTCTTCACTCGTCGTCTACCCAGAGTCCAATACACTGGACAACCTCGTGAACTTGACTGTTCAACAGCACCACTTCACTGCTCAGCAACACTGCGCAGCAACACTTCCCAGCAACACCACATCGAGTATCTGTAATACAGTGTCAACCACATCCTAAGCCATGCACACCGCCGCACTTCTCCTCCTAGTCCTCTTCGGGCTCTTCCACACCGTCTCTAGCGTCGTCCCTTTCAAGATCGTCGTCGCCCCCATCCCCTCCCCTGATCCCATAACTATCATGCCCTCCCATATGGAGTCCGCCATCCAATACATCCACTCAGCGTACTCGGCCATCTGCGACTTCTTCCTCGATCTCCTGTCCTGCTCGCCTGCTCAACTCGTCCGAATGGCACCGTATCTCGTCGATGTCCTCCCTGCCCTAGCATACATCACCATCGTCCTCCTCTTCACCAACAGAACCGCACATTCCGACCTGGACACAGCCCCTGCTCCTCGTCCGCTTTCTCGCTGCTCGGCGCGCTTCTCGGACGCCCTCTCCTGGCTCACCGGGGGGCTCCTCGTCTCCAAGGCACACCACGACCGAACCATCGCCCGCTGCCTTGCCAAGATTGACTTCCTCCAGGCCACACAGCGGGACAACGAGCAGGAGCTCTCGTGGCTGCGCGAACGTTTTGACTGGCAGCACGGGCTCGAAGTGCAGTACCTGAGCACCATCGCGGCGCGCAACGCGTCGATCGCTCGGCGGAACACGCGCATCGAGAGGCTGGTTGCTAGGCTTGACGAGGCCCAGGCCGCCATCGCGGAGAGGGAGGCAGCTATTGTCGACAAGGACCTCGCCATCGCCGAGGCTACGGCAATCATACGGGAGAAGGATGCCGCTGCCTCTCGTTTGGTCAAGGACGCCGAGCTCTTCAGGTCTAACGTGGGGGATACCGAATCGACAATACAGTCCTTGAATCACTGCCTCTCAGAGGATACGGTCCACATCACCCAATTGATAGAGAGACTCCACCACGCTCAATCTGTAGGAGACCAACGCAAGGTTCGTCTACGTGATTCTCCCTTCATCTGCGTGCGGCTTGAAGTAATAACATGATCCTCGCAGGCGACTATCCACGCACTAGAGGCTGAGGTGCAGACGTCCCGTGCCGAGGCCGACGCGAGGATAGCAGCCGCGGACAAGGCCCACCGCGCCAAGGAAGACGCACTCCAGCGCGACCGGCAGGAGTTCCTTGTTTATCGGATGGCGATCATCGCCCAGAAAGACACGCTCGTCGCCGGCCTTCAGACTGACGTCCTCCAGCTGCAACGGGACCTCGATGCGTCCTTGTCTGCCATCGCCGAGCGGGACGACCTTATCGCCTCCTTGCGCACCGACGTTTCCAGACTGCAGGGGGACCGCGCCAGGGTGCAAGCCGACGTCGATTGGGGTCTCCGTTCTACGGTTGAGAAGGACGCCCTAGCAGCATCTCGGGCGGTCGACGATCTCCGGTCCGAGCGGGAGGCATTCACACATTCCGCTTCGGTCCAAGCTCAGGTTAGTCCGGCTCACAGGTGCATGTGTTTAATCGCTCATAATGTGATTTATGGTCGCTTGAGCAGCTGAAAGCGAAACTCGAGGCATCGGAAAAGAGGGAGTCCGACGAATGGTTCGCGGATACCCACCTCCCTCCGGCGAGCGAGACGTCGCACGCCGCCGATCAGCTCGAGTCGCTCACACAAGAGCTTGCCGACGCGAAGCAGGAGATCCGCAAGATCACGCGCCTGCAGCAGGCCTACGAAGAGGCCGCGGACGCGGGAGCCGTGAGGGTCCTCGGCCTGCTCAAAGAGATGGAGGAGCTCAAAGAGCTGGCCGAAGTGGACCACGAGCTGCTCATCGCGCGAATCAAGAAGCTGACTATCCAGCTCGACAAGGCGAGGTCCGGAGTCCCCGACACCCCGAAGCCGTTCGTCCAGCTGCGTCTGCCTAACCTCGTGAATCACAATAACGCGGACAGCTTCACCGCTGTCACTCCGCGTCTCCCCTCCTCCGAATTCTTGGTCGAGAAGCCATATAGTCACCGCAGCCTGAGGCGTATTCCCGCAGCCGCGAATTTGCGACGACCTTTTGCCGATATCACGGCATCTACAATCAACGCTTCTAATGGGGGCTCGATGAGGATGAACCTCCTACCACAGGAGGCGACTACATCGATGCGGCACTCCCCCTCTCAATCCCAGTAGCCTGATGCGCCCTTAGGCGTGCTACTACGATAGTAATTTTTCCCCCTTTCTTTTTCTCTTTTTTCTGTGTATTGGTTGCAAGAGTCTCGTATTGCAGATATTTCCAGCAGTCTAGGTCTCTTCGGTTTCCCTAGCAAGTTTTTAAATGTTTCCTATCATCCCGCAATGTTCCCTCACGGTCTCCGAGTCGTCACTGCAGTAGCCTCGTAGTCTTCAGCCCCTTGTCCAGTGTCCAGTTCCGCGTCGAGCACGAGCAGATTCTCCTAGTATGTCCATCGTCGTGTACCGTATCCCCCGCCATTTTATGCATTGGCCACTACCAATTCTGCTCTGGACTGCCGTGGATAAAACGCTGGCGCCGAGCAACCAGAGGTGCGCACTGCGCGTACATAGCGCCAAAGTGATGGCGGGAGTAACTTTAACAACAGTCCAACCCCGACGAGTCGCGTCGGGATTCCACACTCAATACATCGCTCCGACCCGCCATGTCCCGCGTTTCATTCGGCTTGATTCTGATGCAATAGTCTACCTTGACCCTTCGAACTCTCGCTGTGGACACCAGACACTATTTCGAACTCCAACGTCGTGCACAATGCACATCCCTGTTGAGGTCTGCGAGCATATTACTCATATGCTCTACAGGGATGTTCTTGACGATTGAGTCGACAATAGCGACGCCCTGGGTTGCCGTGCCTATTGTGCAAAGCCTGGCGCGTCCGCTCGTAATGAATGATATTCTACTCAGTCATCCTCCACGGTCTGGCCGCGCATCAAGATGTTAACAGCTGTCTCGAGACCCTGGGGCCCCATCTCACTGGCAGCGACGAAGCCCACCAAGTGCTGGCACTAATTGAACGACCACCGCACACCACGGCAAGCATCTCCTCGCTCTTCCCTGCTGCTCTCTATGGGCAGCTTTTATAAGGCACATCGGCGAAGATGAATACGGTCGATGCCCGAATCGAACACCGGGGAGCATCTGCCTTACGTTCCTCTTCATCCCTGCTTCCCAGTATCTATATCTTCATTCACAGATAACACTCGCCTCCAAAACGACACCACAGGGGCGTTCAAAGACTGATATTGGCCCGTGGCCCTCATCTCTCAGAATTGTGGGTCACCTTGTCATTGCATGAGGCAAGGCCTGTTCTACCCCGGTATGTGCATCTCGTATTCGAGTATCATATCCATGCCGACCCCGGGCACTGACATCCTATCATCAGCACACCCCACTACGGGTGCTAGTATGGGCAGGTTGTCCGACGTGTGGGGTGGTGCTAGCTGTCACTGACAGCCAACTCAGTTCGTTATTATTGATTCGACCTCATGACGTACTTCACAACCTGACTACAGGCGCACGAATGATCCCACTGTTCCTACGCCGTCTCATGTGGGAGCACCACCAGCTTCGCAGCACTTACTTGGCCCTTCCTGAGACGCTCCACGCCTGCAGGAACCGCGCTCAGACCGCCAGGGAGAACCTCGTATGGCACAGGCTGTTGTAGGAGTAGAGCGGTGCGTCGTCAGCGACACATCCGTCCTCTGATCATGGCTTTGAAGCAACGGACTCACCTTGATCAGCCCCTTCTCCAGCCACTCCGGCAATCTCGCCCAGAGGTCGTCAAGGGCCCCACGGTTGGGCCCGGTCATGATTCCCATAGCCGAAGCGACTTGGAACTTCTTCTCCTCAATAACGTCCTTGATTACTCCGTCTCTCCCGGGAAGGGTGACAACCAACGAGCCGCCAGTGCGGAGTACAGCACCGGAGATCTTCAGAGTTTCCTCTTCGGACATGGCGTCGTACGCAAGGTCGACGGGGCCGTTCGCAATAGCCTGTACCTCTTCGATGATCTTCTCGGAGGGCAGGGTGCGGTCGATGATGTGGGTAGCCCCAAAACCCGTCAGGAGGCTCTGATTGCGGAGCGAAGCGGTGATGATGATAGGGCTGAACCCGGAGAGCTTTGCAAATTGAATGGCTAGGCCATACAATTGTCTCTTAGCCTCGACTGAAACATGATGCGAATGAACTCGCCAAACGCACCGAACTGGCCCACGTTAGTGGCTCCGCCAGGAATGAACACGGACTTCCCTGAGTAAGCACCTTGTCCTTTGTCCTCCCAAGGAGCGGTGAGCTTGAGGCTCGAGCTGCCGTCGGGTTTCTTACTGTACAGAGACACAGCAACTGTGGCGATGCAGCTGAAAAGAGGAGCTGCTTCCGCGAAGGGAATGCTTTTCGGTATCTAACTCAGAATCTTCAGCACCAGTTTTCGTTAGGCCTACGCACGAAGCCCTCTGGAACGCGCACCTTGGCTGCTACATATGTCGGGAAGGCAGCATATTGCTGGAAAGTGCCGTGGAAGGCGTCCGACTCCTCTTCCTTCCACCCCTGGACGAGTCTACAGGGGAGCGTCCGTAAGCAAATCTCCATGCCACAAAGTGTATGTGCCCACACGTGGTCGCCCTTGGTAAATCCGGCGACGTCACTGCCGACGTCCTCCACGGTACCGGCCCCGTCGAATCCGCCAATGAAGGAATACGAGTCCGACATCCAAAAGCCTAATGCATGCGTCTTCCAATCGGACGGGTTGAGAGCAGAAGCAGCGAGTTTAACGAGAAGCTGTCCCGACGCAGGCTTGGGGATAGGAAGAGTCGTTAATTCAAATACGCCTCGAGAGGCAGGGAGAACGGAGGCTTTCTGGAGAGCGGACATCACTGAGTACGGTCTAAGGGGTGGACACGAGAACAAGCAACATCTGGGGTATGAGATATATACTCCGAGTCACAGATAACGTTCCCTTCGCGCAGGTCTGCGCGCAAGGAAAGCTCTGTGGCAGCCTTGCGTTCGGTCGCGACACAGAGTCGTTGTATCCCACGGGCAGGTATGCCATCAGAGGATCGTTCGCCCACTGAGAGCTGAGTCAGCGTAGGGCATTGAAACTCACAGCGTTATCCGGTGGAGTCGTAGGACGAACGACCATGACGATGGATATGACCGTCAATTTGTAAGCGAGACGGAGGACAGTGGGCCACTACAGTAGTGTGGTGAAATTGATTGAGACGGGCTTCGAGATAGCGAAGCGTAGCAGATTACTCAGCTGAGCGGCTTGTGTACAGAGCAAACGCCACCTGAACTGCGACTGACGCAATGGAGGCAGGCATGGTGCACGAAGATTGTGTCCATCAATTATGTGTAGACCGCACGCCAGATATGATGGATGCCATGCCTCACATACACAATGTTGTGCCAATGGCTGCAAACATAACATACACTCTCTGCCACCGAATTTCTTTGGAGGCGATTTGCCCCTGATCATGTACTCCTATTTGCCCGTGCGAACTCCGAGTCAGTACCCAGTCCCAGTGAGAACGTGCGTGATTTCAGTCGATATAGGACGGGAGAAGTCGTGTTCGGCTGTATGCGCTCGTGCTGTGCTGATTTAGATTGGACGAGCTGCGTTAAGCGCTCAAGTGACGTCTCTAACTAGCTCTCTTGTGGCTCGATCGGACGTGCGTGTCTCTAACCTGGTGCGCTGTCCTATAGCCTAGCTTAGGTGTCTTTAGCTATACAATAGATTCAGTTGCTTAGCATTGTGTCTGGCTATAGAACAGTAACTCAGTACGCGTTGTACGCGGGACTATATGTATATTAATAGTACCTATAGAACAGTAACTACAGAGTACTAATCAGTATAAGTATACGAAGTAATCAACAAACATATACTCACCTCAGTACGCGTTGTACGCGGGACTGAGGTGAGCTAGTACAAGTCGAAAGTACTAAATACTAAACTTAACAAGACATTCTTACTACAAGATAGGTGAGACGTCGTACTCGAGAACAAAACTGTTGAACCCGGGGGGCGAAGGCCTCTCCCACGGGTGGCAACGACAGCGGATAGCCTGCAACTCACCTAGAAGGGTTGTTGGTTGTAAGAGGCTTGTTAGAGCGATGAGAGGAGATGTTCGAGTGAACTGAACTGTAGATTGGGGGTACAGAGGTCCCCTATATATACTACTGTACATCTGTGGCTACGTAGTACTATACAGTACATTCCCAGGATGCACAGTCGCACAGAGAA